TTGGACATTCAGGGTCTGTCACGTTCTAACCTAGTCGTATCCAGAAGAACGGGAAGAAAAACTGCGCAGCAAACGTAACTGTGGTTTTGACTTAACAAGTTTGTAACTATGCACTGGAGACTACAGTGAAGGAGCCAAGAGGCGGAGCTCCGGGACGTGAGCGCCGAGGAGTGACAGTTGAGCCTCCGTCAGGCCTTATGTAATTCCAAAGTTTTCCTCACAGTCAGCCTCTGACCATAATGTAATCATTGGGCTGTCACGACCACTCTGTGCTGACAGAGGTGCCTGAGTCACACTCACACCATACAGATTGGCAAAGTTACAGGAGGAGTGATGCAAACAACTCACCCCCCTCTCCTCCCCCGCCCTCCCTCTCCCTCTCCCTCTCCCCTCCATCTACAGTACCACAGACTTGAAATTCAGCTGCTGTGCTGCATGACAATGGATTTCACTGCAGACTCTCAGATCGCAGCCACACGCGGCCAGCTTTAAAGTCGGTGACAAAAGGACTGAGGCATAAACTGCGCGACGTGACGTCCATGACAATCCATCAGTGGACACTTAACTTAATGTAGTAACTGCCCTCGCAGATATTCAGATATGGAAAGGGATGAAAATTGTACCCGTGTGGGCTGCCTCGGGGAGACGTTCATGAATTCCAATGTGCAGGATGCCGTCTCTCACACACATACACAAAAGTCCCTGGTATCCTCCTCCGTGCAGGAGACAATAAATCACAAAACGTAGCAAAGGAACTTTTCTTGACCTAAATGGCACTCCTCTCAAACCCTGAGCACCTTGTCTGGCCTTTTAAAAGACTTTTTTTTTTTTTTTCTCGACTTGAAGAAACGCCTGCAGAGAATAAATGAACTGTTACAATCTGGCCTGGGAGACAATAGGCCCTTCATTGGGCCAGAGTTATTCCTGTTCATGGGGGCAGGGGCAGGGGCAGGGGCAGGCCTAATAAGAGACAGACCAGCGGCAGACTTGTCGTTATCTGAGAGGCTGGCAGACCCCTGCTGCCTAATTGGCAAAGGCTCACTGCTAACAAGGGCTTACCAGCAGTGGAAACAAACTGGTATGACCAGCTCACATTAGTGGAACTGACTACACCTGACCCATTATTAAAGAAACAGAGAGCTGATGTCTTTTTAATAAGAAAAATGAGAAGGGTAGGCATGCTCTCCAAGAAGTGAACCGATGGAGCCGCACGCCGAATGTGACTTGGCCGGCAGATTTGAATGCAATGTGATTTTCTCCGTCATTTTCTTTCCCCCGTGCCACTTGTGCACAATTTTTCAGTGATCTAACAGAGCCATGTCTGTGCAGACTCACTGTCCAATAATTTCCTCACACTGTCATTTTCTTTGTAATCACAGCAGTAATCACGAGCAGATGTGTCGCCCTGTCGTCTGTTAGTCTTTCAGAACTAATGACGCAACGACGGGGCGGCTATCTGAGCATTGATGGAATCGGTTCATCTCCCGATTCAAATGTGTCTTATCTGGAATCAATAAAGCGTTTAATGGAAAAATAAAAATGAAAGATTAACAACAACCAAGGGCATTCGTCGAGCTGGAAAGAGGAGAGAGAATGAAAGCGGTGGAGGAGATCAAGCTGCTGCTGCTCTTCTTCTGACAACACTGATAAAGTTGTGGTTCTCTGAAACGCGTGATCCAGCTTTTCCCCCGCGCTCAAATAACACCGCGTTTATGAAATGTAAACACTGACAGTTCACCAGGCCAGACTGATCTCATAAAACCAGACTTCCAAAAGAAAAATCAGGAGTTTACCTTTCAGAGAACTCACGATGGTTAGAGTCTGAAGACGACCACAGCAGTGTTCTTACAGACAAAGGGACACAGACAGAGCGCAGATGAAGACGCACTTGTGTCTTCATCTACATGCTGTCAGAGCTGGGGCTGCAAATTGCAGCTACCACAACACCGTCCCAACCCAAACTGTCAGGGCTAAGGAATCTGTAGACAGCTGGATAATTATATCTGGAATAAATGTTCTCTGTAACGGTAATGGCAGCTGATCTCTCTCTCTGGTGTTGCTTCTCGGAGTAATGAAGAATCAACCGCACGAAGTATTGAGAAAGAAAAGAAAGTAAATATATATATATTAATATATATAAATACGTATATAAATATATACATGTATAAGTATATATTTATATGTATGTATATATATATTTATGAAAAAATATATATATTTATATGTATGTGTATATTGTATAGTGTATATTTTTCCAACCAGTAAAGAACATTTTACATTGCTTGAAATACAGCAGTGAAGCGATGCATGTTTGTACGGCTGCTTCACCTCACTCCCTGACCAGTAAACCTCAGAGCAGTTGGCTCTGTACTTTCTCCTGTCACGGCTCTGTCCCACAGGAATGCTGTAAAAACAAGAGGTGTGTCTGCCTTGGGCTACTCCTCTAATTGTTTTCTCTGCTCACAGCACCCCGTGGGCTGCTCTCATACCCAGATACCTTCAAACGCTGCCAAGCGCTAGATTGGTTCAATTTAAAAGGCCGGCTGGAAAAATGGGAAAGAGATTTATCTCCGTTCTTTACATCCTCACCCCGTCTGGAGACAGTTGCTTTTGCTTACATTTCAATGAAGCCTAATGGGACAAAGGTATTGCACATTTAAAGTTGCGCTACAACTTTGTTACTTCAGTCACAACACAATGTTACTTAGACCTCTGCCTCTTTCTTTCTTAGTTTCATAGTGGTTCTCAGTGATCAAGACACTGTTATTATAACATAATAGGTACAGAAAATAAAAAATATAAAAGTGTAATTGGCACATTAAATATATATAAATATATAAAAATATATTTAGATATTTTTAATATATATATGTGTATATATACACACATATATGTGTATATAGATATATATACACATATATATACATACATATATACATATATATACACATATATATATATATACACATATATGTGTATAAATTTGACATTAAGATCTATTTATTGTTCTTTAGCCACAAACATTCCTCCACCAACTCTAACTCTACTGAACAAGATTCTACCTTTAGGTCTTTGGATGCAGGTGTGCTGGTTGTCACTCAAAAGGAATCCTTCTCGGCATCTGCACTCGTAGCTGCCCATCATGTTGACACAGATCTGTTGGCATCCACCGTTGCCCTCTGCGCATTCATCCACATCTGTGAGAGGACATGCAGAAAAAAAACAATCAACAACAAACCTGGTTCCACAGGGAGCACGACAGGCCTGAACGTACATGTTTGATGGAAAAGCAGCTGTAATGAGCAGCAGATGTGAAACTCCAAAAAAATAAAAATAAAAAAGGCTGAATTCTGTATTTATCATTTCACATAAAAAAATAAAAAAATCTGAATTCTGTATTTATCATTTCACATATACTTTTTACACAACACAATAAGTGACCTTTACATTTAACCTTTCATCTCTTTAACCTTCCATCCTCCCATTTATTACCCTGCAGCAATGAGCCACCCCTGGGGTGCGGGGGGGAGGTGCTCGTCACGCCAGGATTGACCTTGTTCTTGAAGGACTGCAGGTTCAAATCCCATAGAACAGGCAGCAAATTTCCCTTAATCTGCTCTGCAGGGATGGGTTCAATAAATATGTACAATAACTTAAAATGCTGATTCTTCACCACAGTCCTGCCTAAGCCAGGATTTGAACCGGCAACCCTGAGATCACAAACGGCTTCTTTAACTGCTAAGTGATGATGTTATGTAATATTTATTTCGGGTATGGAGCAAAATTTAAAATATAATTTCTGTCAATATTTTGAAGAGAATTGCCACACGGAGCCAATGAGCTTTTTCTAAACAAACAAACAAAAAGAAACGACTTTTCTGAAAAGCCCGTCAGGTCTGAGGGGTCGGTGATAGAAGTGCACTAAAGCTCTCCGACTGTGCAGCACTAAGCCATGAAAATGCACATACAGCTCAATCCCCCGTAAATGGGGAACCCGATCCACCTGGGTCAGAGTACCTGCTGATGACGAGCGTGTGGTGACCAGTGACAAGAAGAATGCTGTGAGAGGGAGGAGGGAGCATGAGAAAGGAGAGGAGACAGGAGCAGGGTCGAGGGGTCACTAGCCATCATATAAATCCACTTCAACTGGGTAAAAATAAAAATGGTTTTGGCCTGAGGTCTCCAGAAAAGAAAACGCACCACAAATGAGAGCTGCTGGTTTCATTTCCTCACATAATGAATTGTTCATTTCCATGTGTTCTGTCTTTGCGTCTTTTCACAGACATTGTAATTTGACAAGAAGGAAATAAATGACCAGCGTTTTGAGAACCACCTCTGATGGTTGGCTTCTTGCTTTTCATAATGAAATAATTTGAACTTCATTTTCACATGTCTATATTGTGTTGCACTGAACTGCCCTCACTTCACCACCGAGACTGTGCTTCACGTTTCACCACTGACAACACTGGAACCCTATCCTTCCTCTTTGCTGGATGTATCAATAACCTGCTGTATACACAAGACCTTTAGTTTTAATAAACCATCATCTGAAACTAATTTACTGTCTATTTGTCCAGTCCGTGAAGGCCTCTGGATTCAGTTTCCTTTCTGGGCCATTTCAGCTCAACAAAGATAAATATGTAGCCAGACTTTCCCTTGTTTCTCAAACACAAATTTAGACCTAATTTCTTTGTTTTGCGAAGTTGCACAGTGACACAAAAACTGAACAATCTGTTTGGACAAAGGCTGTATTTCGCTGACAGACACCACAACAGACGACAGATTAAGAATATGGCCGTCTGGGTCCAGAGGTGGAAGAGGGCGAATGAATCAGAAGCAGTGACGAACTCAATCTCTGGTTTTGTGCTACAGACAGAGTTTGGCCTCCATTTGAGACCTACAATTATTTTGAATGGAATAATTTCAGGAAAAAAGTTTTAAAATAAGACATAAATAAATTCAAAGGGGAAAATACAGGTTTGTTGCACTGTGTGGAGTCAGAATGTGAACAGGCCACAGTGTTATTAAGTGTTATTATTGGATGAAATATCCAACAGTGAAACAATGCCGTTAGACTGACAGGCAAAGAAAAAACTTCAGGACTGAAGTCAGAACAAATATCTGTCTGGATTCACTGGCTTGTACTTGTGTCGTCTGTAGTGACAATCTAATCTTATCTACTCTGATCCACTCTAACATACATTACTATAATATACTTTACTCTAATTAGGGATGTCTGATGTTACCTTAATTATGTAATATCTGTAAGAATCATCATAGATTTTTCCTTCGATAATGACAACCACAGCGCAGTGTTTGGGTTTCACTCAGATGATATGACCTTGAAATAGTTTTAGGTTGAAAGTGAAACTATTATTTGTCGGAATGAGTTGAAAGTGAAAGTGAAACTATTATTTGTCGGAATCGGAAATTAAGTGTTTGGACAATTACTCCAATCCATCTCTGGATTCTCTGGGAGAATATAAGTGTAAAACAAGACACAAAGATCTAAAAAGATTTTTTTTTTTTTTAATTAAGTGTTTTTCTGACTTCCTGTTGGTTCTTCACGTCTCTGACATTAATCTGATAAAGATCTAACAGACGAGGTTTACTGACGACCAACATTTGTTGTGTCTAACTTCACATACTGTCCAGCCTTTTCATCTGTCTATTTTTTACTTTTCTCAATTTTTTTTTTTAAGTTTTGTGACCTTTTGTGTATGACTCCTGAACATGTAATTATTCAGAATCCTTCCTTGGCTCCGACTCTAACAAGGCACAGCAGGTGACAGCACATGCTACGTTCTGATTGACAGGCGCCTGGTTACAGCCTTCAAAACAAGCCTTTTTTTTTTTGCGTTTTTCATCCAAATTAGAAGTTTCTTTCTTTCATGTGGTCTCTGGGCGGCAGCACTCGTGGCCCCCGATGGTTCGCTACGTCAGTGCTTGTGCAACATTCTAGTAAAGGCATTGATTCCTAACGGTTCGCCACATCAGTGCTTGTGCACCAACATTCTAGTAAAGGCATTGATTCCTTCTAAAAAACAATGTCTCGTGTCAGACGAGGTTGAGTGGCTGAAGCATCACTCTGCAGCAGAATGAAGCAGTGCGTGAAGAAAAAGAAAAAAAAAGAAAAAATCTCTCTGGCGAAGATTTAAACTACAAGTCAGAGAAATAAGGCTGCAGTGTAGAAATAGAAAGTGCTGACCGGCTCGTCATTCAACTGTGCGGCGGCTTTGGTGTTGACCCTATGGTTTCATCTCTCTATCATGAAAGTGGCCGTAACAGAGAGGAGACCTGAGAGCTGATGAAAGCTGCCACCAACCTACAGCTGCACCTTTGCAGATAAAATGTTTACAGACACGCACAGAAAAAAAAGAGAAAAAAAAGCAGGCTCCGGCAAACTTCCTGACACTTCCATCTCCCTCTCACTCACATAAACCCCAGAAATGCAAACAGGTAAAGGCTGCTATGCAAACACTAAAGTCCTCACAAATTGCCTCATGAGATGTGCAGCCACCTTCAGTGGACCTGAGGGACTTCTCTTTTCCATACATCCAGCGCATCAATGAAGGTTTCATTTCCTGCTTCCTTCATCTCTTCAAACGAGGCGTTGCCTGTCAGTAGATTTCTGCTGTTTAAATAGCTCCCATAATTACCCTGTGTTGTGTGTTGGGCAAGGCTGGCGTCCAAAGCAAATATTTCTTAGCGGAAAGGGGTTCTGGCACGGCTCGGAGAAGTGCTCGTGTTATTTGGACTTAAAACGTATTTTAAAAATCCTCTTGAGAGGATGGAAAAAAAAAAGTGTCTTAATCAAGTTAAAAGCGCTGCCTCACTTCTGAAAAATGAGACACGTCTTTGCTCTATCCTCGCTCTACTCCCGCAGATGAAGGGAAGGAGAAATTTTCAAACGGGCAGAGATTAAGAGATTGGTTGTGTTTGCAGAGGCCATGTCCGCTGGTTGCTCAGATAGCCTTGACTGTATATATAACATTTGGCCTTGTGCAGAGCTTTAGAGCCATGTAAACACCGTGGTTGCCTTACAGAAACTCCTGGATGTATTTTGGTGAAACGCTCAACTGCTCTCTTCTTGGAGCAAACTTTGGGGGCTTTTCACGGGGAGGGGGCGTTAAATATTACTGCTGTCCGTCATTAAAGCCGTCCTTTGGTTTCTATCTGAATCAGACAGAAGTGTCTCTGTCGTCTAGACACAGCAGAGACGAGGAAGTGAGTGGACAGACGCTGGCCTCTCTGGGCATTTCATTTACAGAATTTAAGGAGGTGCGTGCTCTTTAATAAGGCAGCAAATCGGAGCCATGTGCTGTGACAGGGAGCTAAAATGGTGGGGTGGGGGGGGGTTCTCCCGGGGGCCAAATGTGCAGCTCTGGTAGAAAAACATGCAGCGGTTGGCTTCACTAAGCATCAGTGAGTAATGCGTGGCACACAACGCAGTCAGCTTCAATTATATCAGAGTTCTCTAGTATTTAAACAGGATTACACAATTTACTTGTTCTCTCTCTCTCTCTTTTGCATCTGCAGCTCAGTGACTGTGTATTTGGCTGAGCGGGGGATCAGGGCTGGAGTCTGGACCCGGCCTGAGGCGGGCAGAGATGCTAAATTAAAAATTAAAAAATCCATTACACTCTTACCCAGAAAATGCAAACACACTTCAGGCATGTGTTTAATTGTACACAACAGAGACCCGGCTTCATTAATGCACTGATACACTGTTCAGATTAAAAGCCGGAGACACTGCATCTGATTCAGCTGATTAACATCTGCTCAGCAAACACGGGTAACATCGGTGTGTTTACTGTAGCATTTGATTCTGAAATCAGCAGCCACGTTTGATTTCAGCCTTTTTCATAAACACAACTTGAGCAACTTTGATGAAACACATACTTTGCTGACTGGAGGCCCATCTCCCAGGTAACCATTTTGGTAAATAAGCACAAACTCAGACTCGGAGTCCAATCTCTCGCCCAGTTCTTTCCTAAATTAAAACTATGAGCTCAGGTCATACAGAATGGTATTTTTCTGTTTCTCCAAAACAAGTCTAAAAGTATTTCAATGACAAAACCCCAGGATAAGTGTATGGTACAGTAGGCCAGCCGTATGTCAGAAGACAAGGGGCCCGGCACTGATGTCTCTGCAGCCACTGCCTGCCTTCAAACATAAATCTAATCTCAAGGTCCGT